TTGAATATATTTTTGGTTGGACATTTTTCTGACTTTTTGATTAAAGTTATATTTTGAGATGTGTTTATTTATTTAATTGTCTAATTGTTTGAATTTAATTTCATTTTTTACTTTTCTTCAATTCAAAAAAATGTGAAAAAATATATTTTCTGATATTTGTGGTTTCTTGGGGATTTGTATGATCTTGGCTTAAATTGTTTGAATTTTGATCTTACTTCATCAATATTTAAGATTAAAAGTCAAAAATTAGGGTTTTGTTGCTTATGGTGCAAGGTTCATTTCCAAAACCACTATGCCCTGGATTTTCAATAGAATTCAAGTCTTGATTAGGGTTCATGAATGTATTGAGGGTCTGAAAACCATTTATTTTGATTTTTTTCAACTTGGTTTGACATTTTTCCACAAATTATTTTGAAAACTTGTATAGTTTGGTAGTTTTGCCAACTAGTCTTGAACTTTGGACTTCATTTGGTCCCCTCCTCAATCATTCATGAACTTAGGGCTTAAATTCTGACCTCTATACCTTTCAAAGATGCTAAGGTTTTTTTGGTTTGAATTATGAACCCTTATTTCCATTTTTGATGTAATTTTGAAGTGAAGGTACCCAGTTAATGTTGCATATCTTGTTACAAGTTTGTTTGATGGTCAATGAACTTGAGTGAGGCCAATAATTGGGCACCTAATGATCATCTTGATTCTGATTAAAGTTCGGTCCTTTTCAGTCAAAACCCTAATTTTAACCATTTTGCCCTTTTGGTAATTTGAATGACTTTCTTGGAACGTTGTGAGCTAAGACTTGAAACTTGACAAAAATAATCCCGAGGGTCCTTAATGATCAATGAAAGTCAATTTGAAACATTATGAACCCCACTGCCTTTGTACAAATTCAAACCCTAATTTGAGGTATCAGTGTTGAGGAAATTGTTTGACCTAGTCGATACTTGCGCAAACTTGAGGCATTGAAGATCTTTGTAGGAAATATCTTGAGAAATGAGAGGGCAAATTTTAGGGTGCAACAGATTCGAGTCACCCTTTCTTATGATTCGAATCAAGCACACATAATCAATTTCTGATTTTCACATTCAATTTTGATTCGAGTCAGCAAATTCTCTGATTCGAATCACACTTCAAAAAAACTCAAATTTTAACAAAAATGAAGTGCTTATTAGAATTGACACTTGTCACGATTTGAGTCATGCTTTCATGTCTTTCTTGATCTAATACTTTAACTAATTGACTAGAACCATATTGCATTAACTTTAAGAAAGTAGTTAGATTTATGCATGTGTAAAAACCATTTAGCACTCAATCATGGAATGCACAACTATGTGAGGAGACTCAATTATGACAAATAAATCAAAAAACTAAATTGACAAGTAACAAAACATAAACTAGGACAAATCCTAGTAGGTAGAGCAACTTCAAACGTATCTTCTTTGTAAACATAAAAAGATCTCCGCCATCTCCAATCCCGAACCAGAACATTTTCCTCCCACTTACCAACCGCATCCACAAATCGATCATGTTGATCACATATACTAAAGAGCCTAGGAAACCTAATCTTGAGGGAGGTTATCCCTACCCACAAATCTGTCAAGAAAGAAGTATAGAGATCAATCCCCACTCTTTTATTAATATTGTCCATAAGCCAATCATAATAGTCGTATGCTTTGGATTCAAGAAAATACACACTTTTCTACCTGATAGATGCAACAAGAAAACCCAGAGAATCTACCCCCATCAAGAAGGAGAAAATATTATCTCCATATCTATCAGATAAGATATCACACTAGAGACTAATAATACACTAGAGCACCTTCCACCTCCATTTGACCAAAAGAGCCAAATTAACTAAATAAAGATCCCTAACATACAACCCACTTTTCTTCTTAGACTTGCCGATACCTAACCACTTATGCCAAGAAATTTTTTAATCACCCTTCACACCATCCCAAATGAACACCCTTTGAATCCTAAAAACTTTTCCAAACCTTAATAAGAAAGTTTAGTAAGACCATTCTCCCTCTAGACTGACATATTTATTCTTCCACAATAGTAACTTCCTAGATAACAAATTAACCTACAAATCCCATGTAGTCTCATGACGGGGGTTGACCCCTACAAGCAAACATATGTATATAAAAGGATGGGCTTCTAGCTCATAGTGAAGGAAATTACTAGCTGATTCTAAAAAGATTGGGTCCATATTGACCTATATAAGGCTACTCTTGGTAAAGTTAATCTAAAGGCCTGAGGCAAGCTCAAAGCCCCGAATTATAGTCTTAATCAACCATAGATTCTCAACTAAAGGATCAACCAAGATTAATGTGTCATCCGCATACTAGAGATGGGATAGAAACAACTATGGTGACCCCATCATAAAACTAGGGAAAAGATTCAACTCTACATCCTTACTGAACAGTCCACTAAGACCTTCCATAACCAGTATAAAATGAAATATAGCTTACGAATTGCCTTGCTTCAACCCCCTTTAGATACTAATCTTCTGGGTTGAGAAACTATTCACCAACACTGTAATATTCCAATCAAACACACAAGCACGCATCCAAAATCTCCATTTATCATTAAAATCAAATTTAATAATCATATAATCCAAAAAAACTCCAAGTATCTAAATCATATGTTTTTTTTAAATGTAAAAATAAGACCCATTTTTTTAGTTTTCTTTTCTATGTCAATAAGCTCATTCACTTCCACTACTTCATCCACCAATAACCTTCTTTTAAAAAAAGTCTATTGATTAAGAGAAACAAACTTATCTATCATTTTTTCTAATTTGGTCACCAAAGCTTTAGCAACCAAATTGTACATGGATGGATACTACCAGCGAAATAGGTCGGAAGTCACTCAAATGAGACAAGGACTCCACCTTTGAGTCAATGTGACAAAAATAGAACATTAGGAGAACAAACAAGGCAGCTAGTAAATGCTAGTCTAAAATAGAAGGTTAGATTGTTTGGCCACATACATGAGTTTGATCTATCCTATCACTATAAGAAATAATATTTTTAGCTAGGGAATTTTGTGAGGTGATTCACCCCTCACTAAATTTTGAGGTTGCTTGGAGATTAACTCCTCGCTAAATCCAAATCAGAAGTCAGAATTTAAAAAACATATGGCGTGGGGAAGCCCCTCGCAATATAAATGAAGGGAGTTTCAAATTTCAAAAATATTCTCACTTTTGATTTTGCGAGGGGTATAACGTCACCAAAAAATGTTCGTAGCATAAGCGTTGGGGACCCCCTCGCAAATGTATGATGTATTGTCACTTCAACTGCTTCGTGTACAGGCGTTAGAAAATGACGTTTACATTTTGCAAGGGGGAATGCCCCAAGCTAATTAGTGAGGTGGGAAGCCCCTCGCCATTTGAATTATATATATCCCAAACAGCTTTTGTTTTTCTCTCTCACAAAATTTCTTTCTTCCATTTTTCTCTTCTTCTCTACCACTCTTTCCAATTTTTCTCTTCTTCTCTAAATCTTTCATCCATCATTTCTAATTCTACAATAAAATTTCATCTTTTGAATGTAACAACCTTTCATTGTATATTTTTTTTTATGTCTAATTTATATTGTTTAGTTTATATAATAATTTATTTTAGATTTTAATTTTCGTTTTTTGATTTTAGGTTCCATTGTTATCATATAAAGTTAAGGAGTTCAAACCAAAAATGTTCATCCTCAAGATACATTTTTAAAAAAATTTATATTTTCTGTTTTTTTTATTTAAATTATAAATATATATTTGTTGAAATAGATATTGCTAATAAATATTAAATATATTTCTGGATAATCATATTTTATTTAAAATTTGTATTGAGATATTGTTTAAAAAGAGTTAAAAATATTAAATGAAAAAGGTATTGTTTTAAAAAAAACATTTATCTAAAAACAATATTATTTTATAAAAACATTTATTTAAAAACAGTATTATAAAAATAATATTTAAAAACAGTATTTATTATGTAAAAAAACATTTTTCTTTTTAAAAACAGTATAAAATTTACTAAAAACAGTATTATAGTTTTTTTTTTTAAATAGTATTATAAAAATGGTTTAAAAATAATAGTTTAAAAATAATAGTTTAAAAACAGTTTAAATATTTTATTTAAAAAAACTATATAAAAATTATATTAAGTTTTTAAAAAGCAGTCTAGAAAAATTAGATAAATTTATGTTATTTAAATTTATTTATACAAAATATAAAATATATGATTTAAGTATTTTTTTTTTAACTTTCAGGCAACTTGTAAGAAGTTATCCCCACACAAATGCAAAAACGGAGGTCATTTAACTAAGGATTTATCCTCAAGCTATTATTCTGACATATTGTGCTTATCTGCGCCACCTATGTTGCGCCTAGTTCTTTGTGTCTGAATCTTTAAATTTGTTTTTACATTTTATGAGGGAGAATACTTCAAGTTAACTAGTGAGGTGGGAAGTCCCACGCAAAATATTTGCAACCAGCTATTTAGTTAGGTGGCCTGTCCCCTGATAAATTTTAATTTTGTGAAAGAGTTTTTGCATTGTGAGGGGGAAAATCCAACCTAAATTTTTTTTTTTTTGTAGTGTATGATATTTATAATGTTTCGTTTCATTTCATTAATAAACAAATGAGGATCCCCAGCCTGATAGGTGATGAGGGAGGGAGATTGATGATAACTACAAGGTCAAAAAATATATTGTCACTATCATACCAATGACCTACATACAAAAATTATTAGCAAAATAATATTACTACAAGCAAACATTAATGAATTTAAAATACAAACAAGCTAAATTACCATATGTTAACAACATTTAATATTTTCCATGGTTCCATATGCATTTCAATACCTCTTTCTCTCTCTCTTTCTGTCCAAAATATTTGAAACAATCAACTATAGTAATGAAAGTCAACGATGTTTTACTTATAAATAACATCTGTTGAGTTTTCTAAGCTATGTGTTTTTGTATCAGAGAGCATATAGCACAAGGAAAATGAAGAGGAGTAGAGATACTGAGAAGAGATCAGAGATAAACTCTGCCATTGAAGAGCTTTCAGTTCTTGTTATAGTCAAACCTGGAGAAAACCATGAAGCTCCACCTGCACGCATCCCAACCAAGCCTTTCCTATCTCTTTGCTACATGATTCTACAACTTCTTGGTTATTTATTACTAACTTCTTCTCCTTGTTTTTGATAATAATGATGTAAAACCAAACAAATTTTTTATTGTTTGTTTGTTTTGCAGATAAGGTAGGCCCAACAATGGTTGTTATTAGACAAGACATTCACCAGAATATTAAGGTAACCAAAACTAGCCTTGAGGTAGTTAGTTTTTTCAGTTAAAATATAGTTACTTACACATTGAGTTCTGTGTCATTGTAGAGGTTGGAAGCTATGTATGAATCAAACCCTTTAATCAATTCAAATTTGGCTGAGATATTGAAATCAGAAACTACCAAAGGCATTGCAAAGAAGAGAATCAGTGGCAGTAAATCCTTTGTTTGGCTTACTAGGTGAACATTTAATTGAAGTTTCCAATATAAATATGTTTTTTTTTTTTTTGCAACTTTCACTTATAGATTTGCCACTATGCAGATCCTTGGATTTCACTTCAGCATTGTTACAAGCATTACTAGTAAAAGAGCCTAAAAAGAATATGGAACAAGCAGTTCAAGAGTCTTATGATGCAACTTTGAAACCATGGCATGGATGGATTGCATCCGCGGCTTTCAGAGTAATAATAACCATTTCTTCCTTTTCTTTTCTTTCATTTTTCAATAGTCATCAATATTGGACTATTGAGTATAGCTCGTAGTTCCTGATGAGGAACTGCAGTCGCAGACGTAGACACAGTTGACCGAACTTCCTTAAACATGGTCGTTGTTTGTGTTTTTTTTTATGTTAACTCTTTTGAACCACGGTTACTATTCTTTAGGTTGGTATAAAGCTAGTACCTGATACTAAAACTTTCATGGATCTCATCAGTGAAAAAGACGAAGAAGACCGTGACACTATAACGGAGAAAATGCAGATTTTGGTTTCATTGCTAGTGCCATTTCTGGAGGATATCCATTCTATTCTAGTAAGCTTGATTTCATCCTTTCTGACAAGTTATTCTCATTGGATAGTTACCAAATGAATATTTATTTTTGTTGCAGAAAGTGTATAAATTGGACAGGCTTAAGTCAAACTGAAGTTAAGATAGAAAAGCTGATCTAGAACTTTTCTTAGTGTATAATATATAGTTTGATTTCATGTAAATTACTTGTACAGTAAAATTTTGTATCATCAAGCTTTGCAGTTACAAGTTTGCATCAATGCAAGACTTTCAACATAGCCTAAAATCAAAATGAAAAAAAATTGAACTAATGAATCAAGTCCATTCCCACAATGAGTTTTTCAAGTCATGTGAATTACTTGAAGGATCTTGAAGTGCAATCAATGCTGCAACTAAGCCAGCATTGCTTGCTATGGTTGGCTCAGTAAACCTTTGGTTGCTCCTTTGATCGATGAAGTTATCGTTTGTGTCCGGTCCTCCCACCATGGCTCCCAAAAGAACTTGTGGGTTCGGTTTTTTAGAGTTTAGCCATGTCTTACCATCGTTGCAATTGTAGTGCCGTTTATCCCAAGGGATCGACGCACTTCTGTGGTGAACCTGGACGGGAAAATTGTCGCCGTATCCCACTAAATAACTCATTTTCATTGGATTTTGTCCTAAGATGTAGTTAACCTGAAACACAAGGAATCAAAATTTAGACTATTTCCAATTCATATGTCTTACCATACAAAATAGTCAGAACTTAGAAGGCTAGGAATTTGCCTGAGAGCTAGCGAAATCACGAAGCGTCCCAACTGAGAATTTATCGGTTTCGCAACTTGCACCGGATACTTTAAGATGCTCAATGTAATCACTGTATAATTTACTGAGAAAAGATGCTGTTGCAGCATATTGGAGTAATGGCCCATTATCAGGTTTTGGAAGAACCAATCCACCTACAACATGTTTTACATGAATCATATACTATTATAAATCATAATGTGTGTTTCATTTTATCATAGTATCAATTACCAGGTGTCCTGCTCATATATTTTTTGAAAAGATAAGAACACAAGAATGAGTGAGTAGAATTTGATGAAAGTTTCAAAACATCTTCATAAGGAAAGCCAGGATCACGGAAATATCGAATACCAGCAAGCAAAACCTGCAAACATTACATTAAAAACATGATACTAGTAACATCCTTTTTTTCTCAAATTCGTCTAAAAGTTCATCTCGAGTGTCGAATTAAACTTACCGCAACAGCATTGAGTTTGTTATTCCAATAAAACACACCTTTGTCTAACATTGTTTCATCATTCTTTGCTGATAAAAAATACTCAGTTGCATTTGCAAGATAATCAGTGTTCTTAGTAGCAAGAAACAACCAAGTTGCTCCCCAAGCTAACTCGTCTTTGTAACTAGATGAGTTATAAAGCATTCTTGCTTGTTTTCCACATGCATCAACATTGGTGTAGGTTCCTTGCTTCTTAGGATCTTCCTTTGTAACTACCTCAAATAGGCTTTCTGCTGCTTGAACTAGTTTCCCTGAGTAATCTTTGTCTTCTTTGAACACCATCGACGCCGCAGATAATGCTGCCACAATTTCACCAGCTAAATCTGTAGCTGAGCCATCACAAACTGAAACTGGTCTACCATAACTCATGTCTTCAGGTCTTTGCCAGCAATTTATATCATTTGCTTCATTATTAGTACTAATGGTACTTCCAACCTAATAAAATTGAAAAAATCTAACTATTAGTATATGATTCTCCAGGTCTTTATGTCAGTAGATAAACTCAAATAAACCGATGTAAACAATGATTAGTATATGACTCTGAATACGAAATAAACATGATACGAAATTTATATCTTGCCTGTGAATATAGTGTAAGGTTTGATCCAGTTGAAGTAATGAACACCTTAAGCAAATAGTCAGTACCCCATTTGATGATATCCCTAACATGATCAAGTTCATCGATATCAGCGAATTTCGTTTGATATTCCATTGCAGTCCAACTCAACAAACTCATAGTATAAGCTGTGGTGAAAGTAAACTTAATGTTGTTGCCTGAATCATAATATCCACCAATAAGATTAGTCTTTGCTGAATTTCCATCTTGTAATCCCGAGTCTCCTCTATATTTCACTGAACTGTTCCTTGGATAATTCCCAGCTGCAACATAATAAATATTATGATTAAAATCTCCGGACACATGCACCAGACACGACACATAAACAATGTATGCAAAACAGAAAGCTATGAAGCACTGATACAGACACTTATAGAAGAGAAGTAGTACATTTTTGGGCATCATAAAATGTTAGAGCTTGGTTTATAGCCAACTTGAGATTGATTGAAGAGTCTTGATGGTTATGTTTTTGAGGTAAAAAGTGTAACAGCAAAGCCAGTCCTATGATAGCAAAAAGTATAGCTACTGCAACAATAATAAAAATATGGAAGTGTTTCTTATCAGTGATGACAAGATTGCAGTCAACAGATTTTGGATATTTGGAAGGGATGGATTCATAGGAAATAGATGATTTAGGAGTAAGTTTAAAATCAAGTGCTATGGAGTTCCAGCGGCTTGATGAAGGGAGAAGACGACCAGCTTCTGAAACTGTGTGCATATATGTCACAGGGTTCTTCTGTGACTCTGTTGTTGTTGGTGGCATGGTTTGATTAGTAAATTCATGTAAGAGTACTACTTCATTTTGTTGTTAGTTATAATGTGTTAAATTTGAATTGGGTTGATACTTCAAAGCATGAGTTTGTCTTTTTGTTTGCCGTCCAGATTCTACCTTTACATGGAATGTTTAAATGTAAGTCATGCAAATAAAGGCAAAAGTTTAGTGCCAAAATTGTTTTAAACAAGGTATTAAAGATCAAAATCCATTGATTGGGTGAAAAAAGTAAGAAGATTTAGGTTCTAAGGGTTTGTATTTTTTTACAACACCAAAAACTCTTTAATTTGAGGAATTCAAAATTTATATTGAAGGAGAATTTTGAAGGTTTACGTAAATTTTCTAAATATCTTTTATGTTTTATAGTATTCTAAAAATTAAAAATACAAAAATAATAAACACTATTTTATAGTTCTATACAAAATCATTTTTTTAAACAATGTCAAATATGTTGGTGATTTTAGTATCACCAATGTATTTTAGTAGTAATGTGATTTACTAAAGACCGATGCAATTATGCGTTAAGTTCGGAAATAAGTTAGGGAAGTGCGGAGTGCACGCTCGTCGAGCCAATGCGTAATTGAATATGAATAATTGAAACGGGGTTCCAAGGGGTGAAGCCTCTGGCAGGGTACGGGGCAGCGCCCCGTTGGGGTTCCAAGGGGCGAAGCCCCTGGCGGGGTGCGGGGCAGCGCCCCGTTGGGGTCCAAGGGGCGGAGCCCCTGGCTGGGGTCCCGCTGACAGGTCAGCGAGCGGGGCAGCGCCCCGTTCGAAAATTTTGAATCCTTTTCCCCAACCGACATAACGGTTTTCGAACAGGTGTGTCTTTTCGGTTTCAGTTATTGATCTCCTATATAAGGAGTCATTTGGCCTAGGTTTCAAAGACGAAAAACAATACTTTCTCTCTACATTTGTAATCAGTTTTCTTTTGCCAGAAACAGATTGTTCTTCAAGAATTATCCCCACAAAGATTTCGTGAACCCAGGCAAGAATAGGGTCGAAATACTTTGTTCGGAAAGTGTACGAACACGATTCTTCGAAGTTATCCAGAATTATCATACCCAAATTTCTAACAAAATATTTTCCTATATTTTTTTATAAAAAAATCATTTCGAAAGTCTTCTCTTCCGTTCCCCTCCTCTCTAAACTCGCAAACAAAACCTTAGTGTAAAATATTTTGGAAATCACAAAAAATTATACTATTTAAATATGATAAAATTAAATATTATAATGTGATTAGTAGAAGGTACATTACCCAACATTTTATGATGATTAAAGAAGTTGTCCCTTAAGATTAAAGTGTTTGGGACGATGTATCTTGAAACTAATCACTTGAGGACATCTTTATACTTTGATATTCATCTTTCTTTACAATATTAATTCAATATTGTTGGTGTACAAAGAAGAGATAAAAAGCAAAAAGAATATATTAAATGACGTCTACAAAAATAAGGAATAATGATTTACAATGAATTACATTGAGCTACCTCACTAGACTATTTATACACAAAATAAAATCCTAAATATCCTCTAACAAAGATATAAAAAGATATAATAATATCCTGTAAAAAGATATTCTTAAAATATAGATTAATATCCAAAATATATTCCTAAAATATAGATTAAATCTAACACCATCCCTTAATTTATATTTTATCCAAAACTGACAACACCAATTATATCCGTCAAGCGAAGAAATTGATCAGTCTTGATAGCCTTTGTTAGAACATCTGTCAGCTACTTCTGGGTGCTACAGTGCACAACTTCTAATATTCCGCTCTGAACTTGATTCCTCGGAAAGTGATATTTGGTCTCAATATGCTTGTTTCTCCCATGCAGCACTGGGTTCTTGACAAGATTGATTGCAGACTTATTATCAATCATCAGCTTCAGAGATTTGGCTACTTCAATCTTCAGATCTTGCAACAAGTTCAGAATCCACACAACTCGACATGCAGTCAGAGCACCTGCAATATATTCAGCTTCACAGGTTGAAAGCACAACAACATGTTGCTTCTTGGAACACCAAGAAATAGGACCTCCCAGAAATTTGAATAAGTACCCAGATGTACTTCTTCTGTCAACTCTATCTCCTCACCAATCAAAGTCTGAATAACTCAGAAGTTCTGATTCGATCTTTCTTCTAGACGGAAATAACACTCCATACTTCAGAGTTCCATTCACATACCTCAGAATCCTGACAGCAGCTTGATAATGAGACCATTTTGGTTTACTCATAAATCTGCTAACCATTCTAACTGCATAGCAAATATAAGGTCTAGTATTACACAAATACCTTAGAGAACCAACCAACTGTTTGAAGGTTGTAGCATTCACACCCTCTCTATCAGAATCAGAGTCCAACTTCTGATTTGTATCAGTAGGTGTGATAGTAACTTTGCAATTCTTTAGCTCAAATCTTTTCAGAAGCTCAAGTTCATACTTCATCGGATGCAAAATGATTCCTTTCTC